TTAATGGCATTTAGAATAGATAATTTTAATTTATACATTGTACATAGTGTTCAAAAAGCAAAAGGGCGCAAAAATTATAAATTTATGCAATAAAAATCATTTTAATGAATATTTTATATTATAAATGATACGTTTTTTCATGACTGATGACGAGCAAGTCAATGAATGGTCCAAATAATTAATCAATAAAAAAGATAAATTATTATAGATAGCGCCAGATATGAGTTATTTACGCTATATATTAATAACAATTTTTATTTGTATACAAGACAAAAAAGAAAAGTGACTCAATCTATCTACTTTATTAGAATATAAAAGAAAAGTGTTTAAGTTTATTTATTTTTTTTTTTGTTCAACCAAATATGTCAAAAAAAAAAGAAATTAAACGCCAGTGTAAAGTGAAAGAAAATAAATATAAAGTAAAAATATTGGATAAAGAAGAAGTGTTTTTTTTTGTTGAAGTTCTTCAACACATAATAATGTTGCTGCTGAATATGTTGACCATATAACACCCATTAACTATAATTAAATTATTAAATATAGTTAAAAAAAAAAAACTTTTACTTTTATAAATAAAGCTAAATAATGAGTATTTTTTACAACAGGACTTATAAAAGCAACCAAAAGTAATGGAAGAAGTGAATAACCAATTGTACCAACAATTTGAGAATATGAAACCTATATGAAATAAAAATTGTATATTTTTTTTGTAAATCACTTGTTATTAAATATATATTGAATTAACCTCTCCACCAAGAACACGAGCCAATATAAATATTCCAAGTGAACCAAAAATCCATATTGTTATAATCCATGAAACAACCTTTAAAACAAATTTTATATAATATAATTTATTATTAAAATAATAATAATATTTACACGAAATTGACCATAAACTGATAGTAAAGCAAAACAGAGAACAACGAGTAACTAAGATGAAAAGAAAGAGAATTTCAATAAAAAAATAAAAAAAATTATTTTTGTTATTTTACTGGTCCCCAAAAATCTGGATTATCACGTAAAAGTGTAACTCGTTGTAAAGTTTGACCTGGTATTGGTAAAATAACACAACGTAATTTACTCATTATTTCACCAATATTAATATCTAATTCTTCTCTATAGAATATTTTCATTGATATATAAATTTTATTACAAATTGTTTTTTTTTTTTGAACTTACAAAATTGGCCGATTATCATCAGTATTTAAATCATCATCATCATTTGTTGTATCAAGTAACCATCCATAACCTTGTTTATCTAAAGTACCACCAAGCCAACCACGATGACGTATTTGATTATCAAATTCTGTTTTACCTTAAAAGATAAAAAAAATGATTTTGTTTTTTTGTACAATAAATTAAAAGATAAATATTAACCAGTATATCCTTGTGATATTGGTATTTGTGTTGAACCTGATTGATTATCTTGTGGTAGAGTAAATGTATCACTCATAAATTGAAAATTATCCGATGGCGGTGGTGGTGGTGGTCGCTCTGATGGCATTGAAAGGCTAACATAAGCTGATTGCTCATTAGTACTCATTATTAATAAATAATAAAAGATCTAAAATAATATTAGTATAACAATATAATAAGAAAATATAATTGATCTGAATGTGTAGGTTTGATTTTTGATCAAATATATATTATTATGACTAAATCAAATTTCACAACTAGTTTCATTACTATTTATTGATAAACTATTATGGGATGGAAAATGAATTAACAATAAATCAAGATTGATATCGATTTTTATGAGAATTTAAAAAGAATTTTCTTAATTGACCGCGTATTTCTATACTAAGAAATTCAATAATATCTAAATGATACTCTATATGTAAATAAAGAATAAAATATTTTCATATTAGTAAATGTATAGTAATTATAGATACAAGTCAATCATAATTAGGAATAAGATTTAGAATTTTTGAAAATTGATATCGAACGATAAATACTCAAATATTCATACTGATCACGTATTTCATTATAAATTTCAATTTTTTTTTTTAAAGATTAGAAATGTATTTGAATATGTGAAAATTTTAAATCGAATTGAAAGATTTTTAATTGTAAATAACAGTGTTTTATCCAGAGGGGTGCTCGGGGGGGCCGCGCCCCTCCCGAAAATCGAGTTCGCCCCCCCGAAACTTGTGATCATCGTGCTATGAACATGTGGCTTGCCCCCCCGAAATTCCAAATCGCTCCTCCGGAAAAAAAATCCTGGATAAAACACTGGTAAATAATATAAATTTGAACATGCCGATAAAATAGTTTTATAAACATAAAAATCAATAAAAACCAAGTTTTTTAAAAATACATAATGATGATATTTGTGTCCATTGTTTAAAATTGTTTCATAATTTAAATAGATTACAAAATTTTACTTTTAAGAAATATATTAGAAAATTTTTTTTTTTGTTTTATATATAAATAACATATTATATAATATATATCTGAAATTGAAAGAAATTCTAAATAAAAAAAAGTTATTAATATCAAATTGTTTTAATAATTTATTTTGTTAGATAATATGATAAATATTTTTAAAATCATCAAGATTAATATTATCAATTATAATTAGACTATGAATATAATAATCTATATCAATATATTGATTATTTTCAGATATAGTAAGATGAATAATTATTAAGAGATTATATGAAAATATTAATATAATAATTAAGATTATAGAATAATTAAAAAATATTTAAATATATGAATTAGTATTTCATTTGATAATAATTCAAATGTTAAGAAATTTTTATTCATGAGTAATCTACTAAAAGAAAAAAAAAAGAATTAAATATTAATTTTCTGTAGAATGAATAGATAACATCAAATAATTGATTGAAAACTACTTAAAATTGAAAATAAATTCTGTTATTCTCGAGAAATTAGATACACATGTAAGAATTCTACTAATTATATTAAATATTCCAAGATTAGATAATAATTTCCAATGATAAATATCATATGTTTTTTATTAGTATGTAATAAAAGATTTTATTGAGTATCTATCTCATATTAAAAATAGAAATACATTTAGAAATTGCTAAAAAATTATAAATTTAACTTTAAAAATATGTAATAATAAATAATTATATTTGTTTACTAATATATAACTTATTTTGCCTAGTTCTATAAACAATAAAGATAACAAATATTTGAAAAATAGTTTATTATCATAAATAGTCATATCATCTTTAATTTTCGAAAACAAAAATAAGTTCAGATTGATAAAACGCTTGAAAAAAAAATCGAATAATAATTCATTTAATTAATTTTCCCATCGATATAATTCTTTTCCCAAATGTACAATTAAAAGAACAAAAAAACTCATACCTATAGTAATAAAAGAATCGTTTAAATATAATCAAAGAATATCTTCCTAAATATAATTATTACAAACGATAAGAGATTGATGTTAATCTAAATTATTCGAGACAATTTAATGATTGTTTTGTAAAGATATTTTTTTTTTTTTGACGTAGATATACAAACTCCCCTATTGCTTAAAATCATATTCAATCTTGATTGTAGAGAGCATTAGGAAGAGATGGCGCTCAATATCAATCTAAGTTGATTGTGTTAAATTGACATAATATTTTTTTTTCAGCAATTTTATATTTTCAATCTTGACGTATAAAGATTTCTTTTAGAGTAAAAAAAAATATAGTTTAAATTTTTTTTAGTATAAAACAATTTGAATTTTTATGTAGAAAATATTAATAAAGTTCTTATATCGTGTATTTTCTATTTTCATATTTAAGATATTTATATCTAAACAAATAAAAAATATCATTTATTAGTTGTTCATTTAACTTTCAAAATTTATTGATAAATGTTGAAAATATCAGATAACTTTGTAGGTATTAAATGTTGTTAGATATTCCGAATACGTTCATTAGTCATTTTCTAGAGCAATATTTTATATAGTTATGAAATTTAGGTCATTGTTGGTGCAGAAATCTTCGGATAAATTCACTATCTGACATCCAAAAATTTCTCAACTCTTTGATAATTTATAAAGATATCTTTAATTCCACTAACATCATATAAGATGAAGATTATGATTATAGATATCAGATTCAAAAGTAAGATGCATTTTCTCATACTTATTAAAGTAGTTAGAACGTTAATGTATATTTTTTTAAAGCTTTGAAAAATATTCCAAAGAGAAATTAGAAAAATGTTTAAAAATAAAGCCAATGACTTTAATCAATTGAAAATGGTGCCGTTGGTGAAATATCGTTTGCATATTTCTAGAAAGTTTTAAATAAATATGTTGATCATATATTAAATTATTAACTGCTCTAGTGATGACTTTTCATGATGTATATATTTGTAAAACTTCATCGTTGATATACTGCTTCTATACTTACCATTAGGAAAGAAAAAATGAAATAGAGAATAAAGCTGCATCTCTTTGCAAGTTTTTTTCACAAATACATCAATATTCAACCTTTTTTAAAAACTTATTCGATCATATCTTTTCTAAATATTACTACGACTTTTCATAGAAAAAAAAAGAACTATAATGTTGGATGCAAAGATATATGAAGGGAGAAGACACTCTATTTGTTACAATAATTGAAATTGATATTACTGAGAATAATTAGATGAAATATGCATTAATCTACTGCTTCATATATGAATCATTAAATTAATATGCGGTGAAATTTTAACCTTTCGATTTTTCTAATCAGTAGTCTAAACTACGAACAAAGAAAAAGCTAGTACAACTTCGAATATAGATTAAATACGGCTTGTAATGGATAGCACTTGCAAGTATACTCATGATATTGATCTCTCCATTATATGACGTTGATCACACCGTATCATGTGCTATATTGTTCAATTGCTTCTGTTATTTTCATGGATAGCATCATCAAATGCTCACTTCAATGATTAATATTTAAATATATTAGTTTTACAATTTTCAAAAGTTTCACTTTATATTATTCGAATATCACTCAGTTTTATTTTACTTGATTGATCGATTAGTAGCGTAAAAATTTTTGGATTCGATGATTGCCATTGTCTGCTACATATAAATTAAGATTATTGTCAAGAATGACGAAATACGGATATTTAAGTAGAGTATCATTATGTCTTTGTGTGCCTACAACACCAGCAATTGTTGTACCTGTTTGTGAACCAGAAGAAAAAAACTGAATACGATGATTATAAGTATCAGTCATATATATGTTGCCATAGCTGTCGAATGTTACAGTAACTGGATAGTAAAACATAGTCGATGTACTGCCAATTGTTCCATTTGAATTTCCGGCTATCAGCGTCCAATTACTGGCACCTATAGTCCAACGAACAATAATGTTTACTCCAGCATTAGCAATCATCAAACTGTTTGACGATGACTCAAAATAAAGATCAATCGGGTAATTCAGCTGATTATTATTGAAACCAGCTCCATTACCACCAGAAACTACAGTACCGGATAATGCACCTCCCAGATAACGAACAACACGGTGATTGATCGTGTCAGCTATGTAAAGTGTTCCAGTGCTGGAATCATGAATCAAATTGTACGGATAACATAGTTGGCTGCTCGAATTTCCACAAGAACCTAGAAGGGAAGCGGTGGTTATTCCAATATTTAAAATAAATCAAATGCAATGCGTCTCATAATCACCATGACTTCAAAGGATCGATCACAGCTATACATGATTCATCTTGTTCCCTATCGTGTTTTTTGTTCAGATGTCATTTTTATGTTTTATTTAATATCTTATAATTCTTTGTGAATATCGGAAAATTTTGAATGGAATGAGGATTCGACATCAAAAACTAAATTTACTTGCAATAATAAGGTGTTGAATATAGTGATGAGTGACAAAAGAAAAAAATCAAATGAATTCGATTATTCTATGCTATATATGTTGATATTTGTTTGGCTTAATAAGAAAACAGAAAGAAACCTCATCAAATGTAATAACACCATCTGATGAACGCACATCTCACCAAATCTATTTCGTCAAGAACTATGCGAAAGAGAATTAATGTTGTTCTAACACTCAAAACCTACTTATTATTGAATTTCTCACAATTTTCTTCCAAGAAGTTAAGAAATAAAAAAAAACATTAATGTGATGAAACGGACATCAATGTTGATATATCTCGAATTTATTGATGAAAATAAACATTTCCATCAATTTTAATACCCATTTCATCATTCGAACTAACATTTTTCGGTGTTTTTGATATACAACTCTTGAAAAAGATAAATTTTTTCTTTCACTTATCGATTACATAGACTCCACCATTTTCTTGGTTATTAAAAAGGCTTTGAGTATCTAATATACTACTACTCATAATCAGTACACTTGACTCTATCAACGAATATATGTTGTAATGAAATTCAAGATTAAAATTTGTTCAAAGATCGTTTGTTTATCTGTGGACAAAATAATCTGCAGACTATCATTAGCCATTATATCTCACTGCAAATCAGTAAAGAAAAGTCAATTTTATTGGCAGTAGAACAATGACTTTTCTGTCTTCAACATTTTTAACATAACAGAGTACACTAGGAAAAATGACACAATAAACATTGACATCATTATCGAACACTCGAAGTTTTCTTATGTTTGAATTGAACTATTATTTCTCCTTCCATTGAATAGATCTGTGCTATTCCATTGACTCTTTCAGTCAGAAAAAGCCTTGGCCAGAGCAAAAATCATTCACTAGAGACGTATTTTCATTTGCAATACTGTTTAACAGATATTACATTTGGAGATGAATTCTTTTGATTATTTGCTTTTTCGTATGAAATTGAAAGACATTTGATTTTCATTAACAGAAAAAAAAACTAAACATACAGAATTTTGAAAACATTTCATGACATAAAATGTTGCGACTGTTGCAGCAAGATAATTTTATTGAGATAAAATTTGCCTTTGATTGTCAATATAGTATTTTGTTTTGAATGTCATCGATCTTTTGAGAATATCTAAAAATCATTCATGTGTGTACGGGTGTGAGCGTGAACCAACCCAAAACACTCAAGCATTCACATCCATACCGAAATCGACTCGGGGAAACTTTAAGCGAAATTTCAGAAGAAAAATATTGAAGCAGCGTACAAGTGTTTTTTCCGTACAAAATTAATTTTTTTGTAAAATATATGTGATCCGGTGTAGATTTCTACGCTGAATGTGAGTATGCTATCTATTTTGCTTTCCATCTTAGTTTTGATTATAAAAATTGCAATAAGCAAAGCTATTTTTCGTCAACACTAAAACAAAATTTGGAAAAAAAACTAAAGAGTTACTTTTGTAGTTCGTAACAAATTGATTCAAATCTCAGAAAATAATATTTCTTTGCTGATTTTTGTAATGCTGGATTACAAGAAAAACTACTTTTAAAGAGTTAAGAAAAAAGAATATAAAAGTTTAAGAATTGGTTTTGAAAAGTGTGTTTCTGTTCATATCTGTGACCTTATCTGTATTTAGGACTTTTCACAACCAACCATTCAAACTTTATCAAGTCGTATGTAAATTAGTGAAAAATAAAGTTCACTGGAATTTTGCGTTGTATGCACTCGAACACATGGGAATACTAGTCAAAGTAGTTATTTATCTTCCAAAGCGCATCGTGCTATAACATTTCCTCATAACTTTATATACGGTTTTTATAGTTTTTTAAATTTTCTATCGTATAGTATATAATTTAGAATCATGTATTTAGTTTAGAATTTTAAAAATATACAAAAAGTAACTTCAATGGTAAGAAACTTTTTTTTTCTGTTGAATGTCTTTTGAAAATACTGTTTCGTTTACTAGAAGTAGAACTTCATGGTGTATTTCTCTAACATAGCACTTTTTCTACTATAATGGATTTTTCATCTGAAATTTTAGATAAGTTTTAGAAAAAAATTGTCGTACATACAACGCTGGCCACTCTAAGAAACTATATGAGAAATCAGGTCAAAACTTGAGGATGTGGGTGTGGGGTGTGGCTTGAGAGTGGGAGTAAGTAATCTTTTCTTTCACTTCCACACCCACATCATCACCCACACCCATGGAGTTCGAGTGTCATTAGTGTCTATTTTAAAGAAGATACAGTAGTACATGACAAAGAAGATTATTTCTTTTACTGTATTATTAGCCAATACATCAATGAAGAACTGCGCTCCCATGTCTCCGATTCTATTCCGTTAAAGATCAAGAGTAATGAGTGTCTTAAGCGAATCAGAAAAAAAACAAAATGAGCTGTGAGATGAAGAGTATTAGTTTCTCACCGTATTGTTTCTCAATGCATCAGCCAAATGCTGTATGCCAGCGTCTCCAATTTGATTCCATGCAAGATAGATTGTCGTCAGGGTCTATGTCAAGGAAATGATCTAAATTTTCGATACATGATGAGAGAACTGCTTTAATCTGATTGTGTATTAATACGTCGGCCAGATGTTCTATGCCGACATCTCCAATTTCATTGCTGAAGAGATTGAGTGTTGTGAGTGTCTGTATTGAACACATACAGTAATCTTCAACTGATAACGAAATCTGTTCGAATACCTTATTGTGTCTCAATGCATTGATCAGTCGTTCAAACCCATTAACGCTGATTTGATTCCATCTGAGATCGAGCGTTACAAGTGTCTATGTCAGAGAATCCAAGACTATAGAACAGAAAAGAAGTTAGAATCTCTCACTCTATTATACCACAATGCTATAGCCACTTGTTCTAAGCCAAAATCTTCGATTTCATTGCGTCCGAGATTCAACAATTTGAGTATCTATATCAAAGAAAGCATAAGCTTTTCAGACAAACTAAAAGACTTGTTTTATTACTGTGTTATGTCTCAATGCATCAGCGATATATTATGCATCATCGGATCCGATTTTGTTTCCTTCAAGATTCAGTGTTACAAGTGTCTGTACTAAAAAAATGTACTAGAATAAATATTTACTCATGGACAGAGTGGATATGCTTACCAAATTGTTCTTCAAAGCATCAGCTAAGTGTCGACTACCATCTGTTTCGATATGATTCTTTTCTAGATCGACTGTGGTGAGTGACCGTATGTAAGACATCCAAATAGATAATAGGAATCATAAGAATTTTTCTCACTCGATTCTGACTTAGAACATTAGCTAGATTTAGGGCTCAATCATGTTCAATTTGGTTACTTCCGAGGGTGAGTGTTGTCATTATCTGCATTAGAAAATATCAAAACATACATACTATATATATTAACAGAAAAGAAAACAGGAACTTCTCTTACCGTGTTATGTGCCAATGCATCGGCTAAACACTCTGTTCTGTTATCATGGAGCTGATTCCCTCCAAGATTGAGTGTGGTGAGTGTCTGTTTTAAAAAGATAACAGCAATGTCAGAACGATAAAGAGATCACTCTTCGTACCATATTATTTATTATTAGATTAGCAAGTTTTGCTGCTTCAATGGCACCGATATAACTCCCACCAAATCTGAGCGTTGTGAGTGTCTGCACCAAGAAAACAACCATCTTACACAAACAAATCAACTGTACTCTATTCTCACCTTGTTGTGGTTCAATGCATCAACCATCAATTGTATTCCAACGGTTCCGATTTGATTGTGTGTTAGCTCAAGCGCAGCCACTGTCTTAGTATCAAAGCATAAGCACATGAAGCGAATATAGATCTAAAGTTTTCTACCGTATTACTACGTAACACATTAGCCAAATGACGTGTTCCAACATCTCCAACAGGATTGCCTCCGACTTCGAGTGTCGTTAGTATCTGTATGGTGAAACATTCGAAATTGTTATGAAGAGACAATTTCTCCTAACTTATTGTGTCTCAACATAACAGCCCGAAATCTTGCACCAACAGATCCGACCTGACTATTTCTCAGAATGAGTATATTCAGTGTCTGAGCAAAAGAAAGAAAAACAAGACATTAGGACTACGAGAGAGAGAAAATGTCTCACCGTATTTTCAATCAATGCTTTAGCCAGTTATACGATTCCACCATCTCTGATTTGACTTTGTTCGATTATAAGAGTAGTTATAGTCTATGTTACCCAATGGCAACATTGATAAGATAAAGAAAAACAGAAGATCTCATATTGTTATTTCGTAACGCATTGGCTAGATGTTGAGCTTCTAGCACATCGATTTTTCGCCCTTGAATAGTAAGTTTGGTGAATTCCTAAGTGAAAAGATCGAGATCAGATTTACGAAAATGTAATAGATGCATGATTTGTATCTACTCACAGTATAGAATAGTTGGAAGCTTATTATTTATACCACCGACTGTTATTGTGAATAATCTAATGTTAATCTGTTATTTTTTCTCGATAGCTGAAATCTCTGTTCAATATTAAGATAGACACAAGAGAGTAAGTAC